TCTGTGTTGAGTAATTTTACAAGTGCACAGACCAGATTTGAAAATTAAATTCTCTGTATTAGATGCCTTTTCAACAGACAGCGGCATACATGATCCACAGAGAAAGAAAGAGATTGAGAGATATGGAGAAAGAGAGAAACCTGATATCTGTTGGTATTCTAAGCTTTTTAAATGAATAAATTTAGGTAGTGGCCCTCCTGCACCTCCCCTCACGCTTTATTCTGCCTCTGTCTGTTTTATTGCACCCAGGCCCCCCCAAGCTACCTCCAATATCACTGTCTCTCTCTCTTTCTCTGTAGTTTCACAAAAAGACGCAAATGCAGGTCAATCTGATCCAAAACAAATGAGAAAGGAAGATCCTGGAGGAGGAATCATTCTGGAGGAACCATTCTTTCAAACAAAACACAAATCAAAAGATCTTGGACTAGTGACCCCAATGACTGATTCCCAAGTCAGGCTTGGTTTGTGTGAAATTGTTTTTTGTTCTTTCTCTCTCTCAAATCAATGCTTCTGTAGTCCCCAAGTTCATATCTAGTGTACTGTACGAAGGACTTCGGACAGTTGGACTTCAGGTGGGCCAGTTCAATTTCCCCAGAGTGCTCATAACTCTAGTTAAGCAGGGAAAAGAACACAGTGTCAGAGACAGCAAGGAAATGAACAGCTGGAAAGGGGTGTAGGAGGGACTTTGATTACCAATGATCTCTGAGACATTAAAATAAGAACAGAAAAAGAGATGATGAGGTTGAAAGAATGTTTTAGAAGGGCAGTGACATCTGTCTTACCCCCTATTCTTCACACGCTCTTGCAATGTGCATGCACCTTTTTGTATTTGAAATGCTCCAACTGCACGTCAAAGCATCAACCATCCGTGAAACCAGGACTTTAAAATAACATACAGTATGTGTATCTTTACTGCATCAAAGCTGTGGCCCTAACAGCATATTGCCAATAAAAGTTCTGAAACAGCTGATGCTTTAACAGTATACAGTCTACAGTGTGCTTCAGGTGCAAAATAGACAAAGGCATATGAGAACTTAGGAACTGTTGCATTTTAAAGTGACTGACCTCCATGATCGTCATCGTCGTCGTCATCATCATCATCATCGTCATCATCGTCGTCATCATCGTCGTCATCGTCGTCATCATCATCATCATCATCATCATCGTCGTCATCATCGTCATCATCGTCGTCATCGTCATCATCGTCGTCGTCATCGTCGTCGTCGTCATCGTCATCATCGTCATCGTCATCGTCATCATCGTCATCATCGTCATCATCATCATCATCATCATCATCATCATCGTCATCGTCGTCATCGTCGTCATCGTCGTCGTCGTCATCATCATCGTCATCATCATCATCATCATCATCATCATCATCGTCGTCATCATCATCGTCGTCGTCGTCATCGTCATCGTCATCATCATCGTCGTCATCATCATCGTCGTCGTCATCGTCGTCATCATCGTCGTCATCATCGTCGTCGTCATCATCATCGTCGTCATCATCATCATCGTCTGCCACCAGACCTTGCTCAGAGCGGAATGGTAGATCTTGCGCCTTGGCAGTTGGAGCCAGTGGGGTATGGAAGGAGCAGAGCAGCGCCAGAAGCAGCGCAAGAATCAAACTTCTAATTGATGCCATGTTCAGAGCTACAACCAGGCCAATTAGGGAAGAATTAACCTGGAATGACTGCTGGAGTCCAGCACCAAAGCTCTTTGCCTATTTGTCTCACACACAACCTCACAAAATAAAACCAATTAACTACCACACAAATAAATATTTGCTACAGTTGGGAATGGACACCAATTATAATGGTATCTAATAGACAAGGTCCAGGGCAGATAAGATACTCCAAGCTGAGATCCACACACTTGTTCCCAAGTCCTGGCAAAAAAGATCCTTAGAGAAAAAGGGCTCCCCCCTTTGAATCTGGGACAGCGACAAGACAGGGTGTTGTTTAGTCCAGTGCAGTACTTGTGTGATCAACTTGCAATAAGAAGCTGAGAGGAGCACTGTCAGTAACTGGTCAATGCTGGAGACATAAAGAGGACTACTGTAAGAGTGACAGAAAGAGAGTGAGACCTTCCAGTGGGGTAAGCTTGGAGGGGGTGGCAGTCAGACTGACTGACAGGGGCAAATGTTAGTGGCCAGGCCTGCACTGTCCATAGGTTAAGTTACTCAGAGAAGATGGGAGTGATTGGAGAGGGGTATAAGGAACGTGTGGAGCATACTAGTTTTTCCATCATCATCAAATCTTCAAGTTTAACTTTAGAAGTTGTGATGACCATATATTGTGAGAAAAAGGAGAGGGATCAGTTGGTTTGGAGCTAGAATAACACGTAGTTATTCGATGTACAGACAGATTCCCCACTAGCAGCAGTGCCTGGGAACGAAAAGGTTAAGTTGTTTTGAGGTTGAACTTGTCTGTCCTTCCAATGCATATATATATATATAAATAAACACTGGCCATTTGGCAGATATTTATCCCATAAGTGGATGTTAGAAATGATTTAATTACTGCCTTAAAGAATGAATTCAGGGAGAATCATAATCACTTGGTAATTTCATGTGCATTTGGGGCTTCTCAAAGGACCCAGTTTGAAAGCATTCTTGTTCTACCATCAAGTGAATGGATGCATCGTATGCATTTTTACAATGTTTTAGGTTAGTCAACCATAACACCAATGGAGGTTTAAAAAAACATGAATCACTCATCTGTGCGTGGATTCTAATCGCAATCTCCAGAATGGAAGCCGGGTGTGTGCACCCAGGGCTATGGGCTATGCCTAAGACCTAAGATTTATGGTGTTATATTTACACATGGAAAGAGGTTGAGTAAATAGCTCAATGGTTCTCTTTTGTTTCCCTAAACCCTCCCTTTAAATTAAAATAAGCATTATAGCTTAGACCAAATCTCTAAATTTTACAAAGTTAAAGCCTACACATTTAATCAACTAGATGTAGATTTTTGTGTGGATTTACATCACACAGAATTCTTTGAGAAATTATCAAAATGATCATAAAAGGCATATGAAAGAAAAAAAAAGTTTTAATATCTGATCCTTCCCATTTTTCCATTTTGCATAATGGTGCTAACTATGGGACAGACAAACAATTGCTAGTGAAAGCAAAACCTCTTTGATGTAGTAATACATTTACATTTATGTAACTGACATTAAATCTCTCAGTTACCCCGCTTCCTGCATTGACACTTAATATTGATATTAATATCAGTGGTACTCTGCATAATCATCCAAATGGAACTTAATTCCTAGAGACACTAACCTGAGATAACCTCTTTAATATCCCATCTAGTGGACAGATTGCCATACAATTTCCTGAAAAGATTCATGGGCCTAAATTGACTAATCTAGGCTTTTCCCCTGCCCTCAGCACAAGACATTTTTGTTGAATTTAAAGTTAGTGTTAGCCCTAACCCTAACATCATATTGTCAGGCGTGCAGCATTACAGTCTGTAGGGGTTGCCAGCGAGTCCTCAGATTGTGGGTCACACCTGCAGGAGCTGTCTTAAAGCTTCACTATTGCCATCATGCTGATGTAGCCAGTGTATATGCACAACCAAGCACATATTTCAAGCCTAGACTGTGATCTCTAGCCCATCTACTTGTCTGTCCCTCCTTCTACATGTTGCCCCCAAAATAGATGGATTTCTGTGGGGAGGAGTTGACAACCACTCTATTTAAAACCAAACACTGTCAGAGTCAGTGTAATGTGAGCCTCCCTGGCTCTGTCCGTGTGGATCCAGTACACCCTCTGTCAATTCTCACTGACACATGCATGAAGAAAGAAGTCAATGACAGACACCCTCTAAAACACCACCTTAACCAAACTTCCATTAAAATCAATACAAATAAGTAATGTTTTAGATGCCATTTTGTGTGTTCTCTGGAGGAAATTCAGATTGTGGCTTAAAATGTTTTTAAATAGCAGAATCAAAACAAAAATGATGTTATGCCTGTTGATTTAAAACTTCACTCTGATCTTGATGGTTAACGATTTGGTCAGTTAAATTACCTTTACCTTAAATAAGTTGAAAACTGTTGCATCCTGGACCTCTTGTTATCTCCTTCCTCTATATTCATTGGTGGAACTGAGAGCTAAAGTATGTAAATATTGATGTTTAATGTACTGTACAAACATTGCTCTCAACTGAATATGAGTCAGTTAATTACATTATTATTTCTGGAACTTGTCACAGGTTTGCTTTTCATTATTGGTCAGCCAGGACACCCAAACTAGGGAGAACATGAAGGCTAATGATCTGGGCTAGACCTGTTCTAGATTCTCATATGGTACCTAAGTCAAACAGCTGAAACGGATACTATAGATGACTACACGGCCAATAAATGCCATCCTGGTGCATTTAACCAAGTAAAGACTTGAATCACTTATATCTCTCACTATTCACTGCTTTAGAGAGTGAATAAGTTCATAATTTAGTTTCTAATGGTGATAGATTAGTTGCATTGCGAAACAGCAGAGTTGGAAAGAGCAAAGGACAGAAGGAAGAAGGTCAGATCAAGATGCAGACTGCAAAGTGGCTGAAAGTGGAGATGAGCTCAGACATGCCAAAGACATTTCTTCTCTCTTAGTTTGGAACACTAACTCTGCCTGCATTGACCCACTTGACCCATTTAGTTAACTGCCACTACTGTTTAACTCTTTCTCCCAATATAGTCTTAAAGAAAACATGCCAGGTATCATCAGTTTGGAATTAAATTTGGTCCATATCTGACACTTACTTTTCTTTGGCTTGGGGTGGATATTGACATCTGAGTAGAGACCCCAACACACAACTTAATTTAATTCCAAAATGCATAGTACAAAACCTAAAGAATGGGTGTTATTTAAGGTGCCAGGCAGGGTGTTGTGAGGTGAAGAGATGATATTGCATCAACCCATTCATGAACCAGGTCTAACATTCCCCAGCAGGATTCCTTTGCCTCCCTGAATCTGATACAGTGCCACATCTAACTCAAGCTCTTTCCATTTAAGGACTGTCTAAAGTTGGAAATCACCTTCCATGATAAAATTACACAGGGGGACTGGTGTGTGTGTGTGCGTGTGTGTGTGTGTGTGTGTGTGTGTCAACTTTCTCCCCGACGGGAAGTTTGTTTTGCAGCCAGGCAAAAACAAAACATGGGCACAGACTTGGGCATAAGACAACATTTACATTACACAAATACATGAATACATCAGATAACAACAGAAAACTAAGAGCTTGTAAAACCATCATCAAAGCCAAATATGAGACCCTCATTAGTCATCAGGAGTGAACAGGATATGTCTAATCAACTAGGTCATGATTACAATTTAATAGTTTGATGGCCTGAGTTATAAAATCATTTTTCAACCTGTCAGACTCTGGTAATCTGTATCTTCTGCCTGAGGGCAGCAGCTCAAATTCAGCAAAGAGAAGATGTTGAAGACACTCAAAGATTTCTCAAGCCTTAGCTGTAGCTATCTTACCAAAGGTGAGAGACAGGTCAGGTAACTTAACGCCAATGATCTTACAGGCAACCGGGAGGATGTGTTGGAACTTATTCTTGTCCCCGATACAGAGATTACCAAACCAGGTGATGAAGCCAAAGGTAAGAACAGACTCCATTGAGTTGTTAAAAAAGCGTCATCAATTTACTGCACACACCCAGCTAATTGAGCTTCTGGAGGAAATTAAGACATTGCTGTGCTGTTTTCTTCCTTCTCACCTATAAATCCCTTCATGCCCTTGCCCCACCATAACTAACTGACCCCCCGCCACCTCTACACTCTGCTCTGAAAGCGTCCTCAATCTCTGAACCTTTGGAGATAGAGCCTTCTGTGTTGCAGCCCCAACCCTCCGGAACTCTCTTCCTGATGAAATCTGCAATGCTGCATCCCTGGACAGCTATCAATGCTCAGTCTATTTCTGTCCTGTTTTGCGCCATTTACTTTCTTTTTGTCTCTACCTACACATGTAAAGCATCCTTGGGTCTCTTGAAAGGCGCTATATAAATTCAAGTTATTATTATTATTTTTATTACTGAGTACTATTTTCATGGAATGTCATGAATGTTATCGACAAACATACCCAGGTACTTGAAACTCTGGACTTGTTCAACAACCTCTCCATTGACAGCAGTTTGAATTGTTGGAAATGACTTTGTTCTAAAATCTAGGAGATCTGATCGTAGCTACAGGCACAATTGGTGATGTTTTCCACAGTGTGGGCACCTTTTGCTGCTCAAAGGAACATTTGACTATGTTGTGGAAGATAAAAGACAATTAATCTGCACAGTGTTTAAGTAGATGACCAGAGATATTGACAGGGCCAGGGGTCTCATTTATAAAACAGTGCGTTGGATTCATGCTAAAAGTGTATGTGCGCACAAAACCTGGAAATGGTGTATGCAAAAGAGAATTCCCATCTATAAAACCGTGCACATGCATACCTAAACGCAAGTGTTAATGTTGTTAGTGAGGTGGAGGTGAAGAGTGATTTAATGGGACAGTAGTGTTGTCACTACTAAAGAAAATACGCTGCTGTTCATACAATGTGTGAGAGTGAGGATGATAGAGAGAACGGCAAAGGTTGATCCTTTGCCAAAGGAAACAGAGTTGTCATTAACTCCAATGTGCATTGTCCAATCAACCACAAAATTCCGTCAGCTCCATATGTCAATTCACCGTGAAAAGAATGTTCTTTTTTTTACTCCACTGTGCACTGTCCAATTGGAGCCAAAATGAAAACCTAAGATCATAGTCCAGGCCTTAACAGCTTCATATGTCAATATAAACTCAGGGTCATAATGCCACCTACTAACTGACAGTGAAAAGGACCTTTTTTTGACTCAACTGACTATTGTCCAATCGGCATCAAATTCTGTCACATGATCAGAGTCCAAGCCTTAAGAGATCTATTAGTCTGTAGCCTATGCAGTGATACTAATAGCGCCACCTAGTGATCAATGTGATAAAAGTTGTAATGACAGTGTGAAGGCCCTATTGAAATTGTAATGTTTATTATTATTATGAGGGCCCGAGCACTGATAGTGCGAAGGGGCATTATGAAAAATGCAAAAGGAAGTCAGCCATTTTGGATTTAGTGGCCATTTTGGCCATTTTACAGGTTGTGTATTTTAACGAACTCCTACTAGAGCTCATCAGAACAACTTTAAAATCGATAAAGTGTCATCTCAACAACATGGAGATTGAAACCACCTCCATTTTTTAGTGTGCGTCACACAGTCTGACCGTGGCATGGCGTCAAACTTTGATAATTCGCCAAAAATGTATTGTAACTCCACTGTGCATTGTCCAATCAGCCTCAAAACCCATTCACACGATCACAGTCCCATATTCAATATTGACTGATCGTGACAGCGCCACCAGCTGGCAACAGGAAGTGACATGTTTTATACATGAATGCACTGCTGCTGGCTGCAAAATTTAAACCAATGATCACAATCCATGCCTGAACAACTTCATGAGTCAAAAGTAATACAGGGTCATAGTGCCACCTACTGTACAGTGTGAAAATTAAGTTGTTTTTAACTCCACTGTGCATTGTTCAATCGGCACCAAAATTTAAAGCAATGATCACAGTCCCGACCTGAACAGATCCATGAATCAATATTGACTCATCATCACAGCGCCACCAACTGGCGACATGAAGTGATATGTTTTATACTTTAATGCATGACTGCTGGCTGCTTTGCAATATACAGCTCAAATGAGCTCAGTCAGCTGTAAGAACATGATCAGGATTGAGACATTACCTCACAATCAAATGATGCGTGATTGGTGGGCTTGGTTCAACAGTGCGTGACAGACACAGGAACTGAAGCGTTTATCCTTCCCACGGTGCGCTAAACGCATGCAACACAGAACTGTTTTGCCCGGTCCCTGACCACCCTCACCGGCGACTGCATCAGACCCCGAGTTCGCAAGTGCTCGGACCTGCTCAGTGCTGCTTTGCAGCCCTAGTTATTATTATTTTCAGGCAAGTGATTTGCCTTTTTGAGGGCTTAAACAACTTTGCAGGCTCTTCAAAAGTAGTGAGTAATTTGAAAATGGGCGAGGCAAAATGGCTGAACAGCGCCACCTACAACGTACTAGAATGCAGCCCTTGAGTTTGCTTTCACCGATCTAGACAAAAATTGGTACACAGGTGAATCATAACCAGTCAAACAAAAAAGTCTCAAGAAGCATTATGAAAAACGCAACAGGAAGTTGGCCACTTTGGCCATTTTACAGGTTGTGAGTTTTAACAAACTCCTCCTAGAGCTTTCATCAAATCAACTTCAACTTTGGTGAATGTATCTTAACAAGATGGAGATTGAAATTACCCTGATTTTGATTTTTCGTCACAGGGTGTGACTGTGGCGTGGCGTCAAAGTTTGACTACACACCATCAAAACACAAGGTTGTTGTATCTCAGAGATGCATGGTCCAATCTACTCCAAACTGAACATGGAAGACAAGAGTCCCAGCCTGATGACATCTGCATAGAAATCATGACTACCCCCAGTGCCCCCTGGTGCCAACAGGAAGTCTTGTTTTTGCATGTGTATATGTATGTATTTTGTATGCTTTGATTAAGTGTCATCTCAGTAACAGTAATAGTGTGTATCACACGGTCTGACCGTGGCATGTCGTCAAACTTTGATGATTCGCCAAAAAAGAGGGCTTTATTATAACTCTTCTGTGCATTGTCCTATCAGCCTCAAAACCCATACACACGATCACTTTTCTGACATTCTCCGTTACATGAGGCATCTATTGCACTTCTGTCCATCCTGGGACTGGGATCCCTCACATGTGTCTGTCTGCTAGGTTTCTACATTTTTTTCCTGTGAGTAGTTTTTCCCTACTCTTCTTGGGGGTTAAGGGCAAAATAATAAAAAATAATATAACAAATATTAATATTTAATATTCTTTATGATAACTTAATATATCAAAGTAAATCGGGGCACCACCCTTCAAATGAGGGGAAAAGATAGCCAATTTATTGAATAAGTCTCATSAAATTACTGACTACAAATTTGGAACTCTGATTAATAATTAAATAAATAACTATAATCAAAGTTACCACAACAATAGCTGGCAAAGTTGAAGGATATGGAGTTCTTGACAGTGTAGAGGTTTGCAAAATTCACACTTATGCACCATTAAGAAAAACATTTATTATGAAAAAAAATAAAAGTATAAACACACAAGAAACAAAAGATGTACTTACTATATACAGATGTGTATGTGAGTATGCATGTGTGTGTGAGTGAGTGACTGAGATTCAAAATGGCGGCTGGCCACTATGAAGACAAAAGGTCCTCTGGAGTGGTGAGACCATGTGGCTGAGATCACATGTAGGTGTTAAGTTTGTGGAGATGAGTGTGTGAGGTGTTGGTGCCAGGTTAAAGAAAGTAGTTAGATGCATGCAAAGACGTGATCAGCATAACAGAACTAACATTAACTTTCAAATAACATATTACCAAATATCACAACAACACAAGTCAAACTTATAAACATCACATCAAATAGAAATAGGATTAAACAGTCCTTTGCTTAGCCTAGCGTAATAATGAAGCCCAGTTGTGTTACCCGTCCATGAAAAAGAGGGAAAGGTCATTTTTGGATGTGCTGTTTGAAGTCCAGTGAAGTGGTCTTGTTGGTTTGTGGATCCTGTTGTGCATCTGCTGGTCAGACCTTGTGTCGTGGCCAGTTGTGCTGAAGTTCTTAGGCAGGCTCTTGCGTTGCTGCCTTTGGAAGGTTTTAGCAGCCTGCTCCAGGCAGGCCTGCTGGAAGTTGAAGAGCTTGTGTTGGGAGGAAGTCTCCCTGGCTGGGAGAGCGGGAGCAGTACCTACTCCTCCAGGAGTGGTCAGCAGGGAAGAGGCAGAAGAGATAGAGGAGAGGGGAAACTCGGCTTTTATTGGCCTTGTGACCTCATGGGTCATGGGGCACACAGTGACCAATAGTGGTTGAAAGTTGTCTCCAGGAGCAGTTTTACCACCTATGTGCGAGGATGAAGCACCCTGGGAGACTGAGTTCTGGAAGCTCTCCTTTGTCTTCAGAGCAAAGGAGACACGTTGTCAGGCTTTTGGCTACACATGTAGGCCCAACTATGGTTCACAGATACCAGGCCCCAACCACTGAATCAAAGAAGGGGACATACAGGGGATTCATACTCACTTAGCTCAACAGTCAACATACGATAAGGCAAGAAGGGTTAAAAGGGGGAGGAATAAAGGGGACACTATGTTCTGAAAGGTAGTTGTCAACAATGTAAAGAGGTGGTACGGTCTTTAACAACAATCAGGCTCTAATACAATACAACAGTTTGTAAAATAGGCAGAACAGGGTTCAAATGTTTCACTTCCTCAAATAGTGTATGTGGTGGTTGGGTGTGGTTAGGGCGCCAGCTGCTGGACAACAGGGAGGAGTGGCTCAGCCAGTGATCGGACAGGTGTACAGAATCAGGTAATCAGTCAGTCAATAAGAGCACGCTGGTAACCTGGGTCTGGTTCTCTTGCAGTAGGCTGGGTTCCTGAAACGGAGCAGACATGTGGATGTGTGTGGGTCCAGAGACCCAAGTATATGTGTGCGCCTGAAAAGGCTTGTAAGCCAAATAAAGGACTGTGAAACGCCATTCTCTCCTCTCGTCTTTACCCGGAGTGGGCGAAGTACTCCCACAGTGTAGTTTCTTTGTTACTTTGCAGATCAGCACTGTTTACATATAGTTGCTCAGATGTTAAGTGTCAGGTTGTTAAAGGATCTTTAAAAACTCAAAGCCAATCCATAAGAGAGCTGTGACCGCTCCTGTTCTACCTGTCACCCCAACCGGTCGAGGCAGATGACCGCCCACATTGAGTCTGGTTCTAGAGGTTTCTCCCTGTTAATGAGGGAGTTTTTCTCTCCAGTCGCCAGAGTGCTGCTCATTCTGGAAACTTTTGGGTTTCTCTATATTAATAAGATTTTAAGGTCTTGACCTTCTATGTAAAGTGCCTGTATGTATATTATGATTTGGGGCTATAAAAATAAAATTGAATTGAATTGAGCATGAAATTAGATGTTATGTCTAGTTTAGAAAAATGAAATATCTCCTTGCTGTCATCTGACCTAGTGAGTCAACTTTTTCAAGTTATTAGATGGAATTTCAAAGAAAAGTGAAAATCCTAGCAACAAATTAACAAACAAATGCTGTTAGACATAAATGTGATTTATTTCAAAGAGGATTACATAACGTTTTCCATACATACAACATAAAATGTATGTACCTGTAGGTATATGTAATGATGAGTTCAGTTTGTTAAAACGTGCTGCCCATAGATGCACTATATGAATGTGTGGTTGAATGGGTGAATGGCAAAAAAGATTGTCATCAAGATGAGAAAAAGCGCTACATCAATGGAGACCATTTACCATTTAATATCTACTATTTCAAAATACACAGGACAATGACAATCTCAATTTTGTAACATAAAACAAATGATTTGTAATTCAGCATCCATGGAAGGCTACACAGAAAATCTAGTTTCCTTGTAGCACTCTAAATCACTGAAACTGCAGACTTACTGGAATGAGGTTTTGTTTTGTGTAATCAAAACACTTCAGCATACATTTAACTACATAAATAGCACATCTGAAAAAACCAGCAGCTCCTAAGAGCGTAACAATGTAAAGCTTTTGCTGAAAGAACACAATGCAAAATAAATTAACAATCAGTACTGTATGTAATGTAACAATTGACAGATTCCTGCAATTTGTGCGTTTGTTGCCACTGTTCACTATGATAAACCACCACTTCCAATACATCGCTGATGTTTCAGAGAAATAGCTCAGCTTTATTCAGTGAAAGACAACTATCACTGGCTTGTCAAAACAGGGATGCTATTTGGACTGATGATTTCACATTTACATTAAGGCAGTGCTTTTGTCCTCTGACCTCAGCCAGAATTGCTCTGTTCTTGAGAAAGGCTGATCAAGCGCTGCTACATTGCTTTGTCAACATTAAAGTCTTACTTGTTAGAACTTTCATTGGATAGCAGCAGCTGGACAAAGTGAGGCACCTCCTGCTTCAGACCAGCCCTGCATCCATGGTCATCTTGTAAAAGGCTCCTCTCTGACTGATGAGATTAGAAGGGGTGTCAAACTCTACCATTTCACCCTTGTCCAATACCAGGATCCTGGGGGAGACAGAAAACTGATCAAATTATTTCTGTTAAAGTAGCACAAAGAAGTACCAATACTCCCAGTACTACCCTTTCTTCTATTTTGAAAATAGCTGTGTGTGTGTGTGTGAAGGTGGTGTATAGTACCTGTTGTAGTCCATGATTGTGTGAAGGCGATGCGCTATTGTCAGGATGGTGCACTCCTTAAACTGAGATCGGATGGTGGACTGAATCAGGTTGTCTGTCTCCATATCTACAGCTGCTGTGGCCTCATCTAGAACTAGGATCTTGGTTTTCCTTAACAGAGCTCTGGACAGGCACAGCAACTGCCGCTGACCCACACTAGCAAGAAAAGACAGAAGGGTTTCAACAAACTAGAGACAGCACAGTACTTAACTCCTATGGTGTGTTTGGGCCCAAGTCCAGGTCCTTGTGGTCTTGGTCAGGGTTTTTTCTGGATTGTTCCATTTCATTATGTGGTCCTCTCAGGGCCAGCCAAAACTAAATGGGTAGTTGACTAACAATGAGGCCATGTTAGTAACATTGTCTGGGGACAAATGTGCTCTAGTTGATCACTCCAGGGGTGCACTTTGACACCCTTGCTATTTATGCTCTCCAGCATTGTCTGTTAAAGAGTATGGTTGAGTCAATAAATATATTCAAAAATGCTGATGACTTAGTGATTGTCAGTATTCTGCAGGACCATGAGTTTGGATTTGGTCCAGTCTTATTGATTAATACCAAAAACATCCTGCCACAGCACTGACCTCCATCAATGGCACAGCTGTGGAAAAATAGAGTTCCTGAAAATCCTATATTTATCGTTTACTAAGTCAGTTCCAGCTTTTGCAGTGACCTTCTGGTTTGGCCACAGTGTGGCTATCAAGAACAGGTTAGGGAAGATAGTAAAGTAGTAACTTGAATAACCTTAGTCATGTTTATGAAGTTAAAGCCATTTAGACAGCAAATACTATTTTGGCAGACACTCAACAACCTCTTCAATCAGATTTTTTTCTCCTGATGTTCCAGGGAAGAGGAACATCTTCTAGCAGATCTGGGTCTAGGGTCTAGCAAATGCCTAAAATCATTTGTCCCATCAGCTGTTGAGTTTTTGATTGAGTTCAACAAAACTGCACCAACAGGATTATCAAGACACTCCACCCATTTCTTTGGCAACACCTTTTAAGAGCTGTGACTTGCCTGGCTTACCACCTAATGGGGCAGATTTACATGTTAATGGAAACTTTCAGTCGGCAAAGTGCAAGTCTGAATGTCACAGTGCAAGTCAAGCTTGACTCAGCTTATGAAATGGAGATATGACCTATGTAGATGGCTATATAAATTATTGATTCCACACTATGTGCGACCTCTGTAAAGCTTTGCTGACTCTTATGTGGTTGTTCTGAAGCTGTCGTGAAGCTGATCTTCCAAGAAAGGCCACGCTCAACATTAACAAATAAAAGCCAATTCCTGACAAATGCATCTATTTTTACTGCTGTTTTGTCTGTCTGATCACCAGCTCGTCACTGAAAGTCAAGAGTTCCTGCAAATATCTCAGATTGCAAGTGTACCAGAAAAAGTACTATCTGTGCAGGAAGTCTTGACTGTCACTGAATAATAAAACCAGCAAGTAGAAGCAAATGGCATAAATATACTAAATGTAATTAGTAAATAAGAGTAGCATTAGTGTTTTCACTAGAGAGGTGGAAATTACTCTGACTATTGTTAGCTGAATGCATTTGTGCTGTGGAATAACACAGATGAAGTGTTAAGACTGGGTCAACAGAAAATACACAGTCTGCAATTGAGGTAAACAAAACCTGGCTGTATATAAAGCAACTATACCTGAGGTTCTCTCCCCCTTCACTGCACTCATGACTGAGTTTGTCAGGTAGGCTGGACACATAGTTTTTGAGATGGGAGAACTCCAGAGCCTGCCATAATTCCTCATCAGTGTAGCTGCCAAAGGGATCCAGGTTCATCCTCAGAGAGCCTGAAAACAGCACTGGGTCCTGAGGAGAGATATGTATATCAGTGCTTTATTGAGGTTTAGCTTCAACATTCCCCTTTTGGAAAGCTGATAGTTAGGACTAACAGAGGAAAGCCACAGATCAACCCATTAGTTATGCTGCTGTAGAGGGTAATCTCTGTGATTCATCTGTATCACACAACTATTTCTCATTATCCTTGTACCTCCTCTCTCCTGTAGTTTGAGCTTTTCCTCTCTGTCCTCATTTTGATGGTATTTCTGATTAATAAGTGTACTGATATTACTGAAAATGCCATTACAGCTATGGGTATCACAATTATTCTTGTTATCATACCAACTTGTTTGACAGTGCTTAAATATAATAGTTCCACTGTTACTGTGCTCTCTCTTCTCGCTCCCCCATATCTCCGCATTAGAGTGCATGAGATAATGTATGCTGTGATCTGGAGATGTACAAGTAGAATAAAAATGAATCCCATCATGACACGTCTGGATTTCTAGGGTGAGGGACAAGTTAGCTATTTCCTATTTCCTTAGAGAGGTGATGCCAATGAAACTAGGAGGACTAAGGCTACCCCTGATAACCAAACTATGTGCTTCACAGACACACCAAAGCATTATTGTGAGTTATGCCCTGTGTGTCAATAAAATGATACTAGGTACACAATGGACTAATATACACATACTGTATGCATCCTACAACTGGAAATACCAAACATAGTCTGTGTTATTCATTAATAATATTAATAGTAACAATAATAATACTGATAATTTGATGTCTAGCACGTTTTCAATAACAATCAGAATAAAAGTAATAAGATACAGATAATAGAAGAAACAGAAATCACATGATAAAAGCTCTTTTATTAAGATCTGTCTTAAGCAGTGAGATAATCAATTGGCTATGTTTAAAGGCTAAAAACCCAATTGCACAACCTTCTTAATGTGAGGTTTGAAGCACAGGTTTCAGTCAAAGACCACACCCAGATTTCTGGCTGTTTACTTGGTAAATGGTGGTAGTTCACCAAGGTTTGACGTGATTTCATTTATTCTATAAGTTGGACCAAAGACAATTACATTGGATCTGGAGAGGTTTAGTTGGAGAAAGTTGTTTGCCATCCAGTGTTTTAATTCAGCAAGGTACTTGACAAGAGTTTGATTTGTTATCAGGACTGGTGTGCACAGGAAGGAGATGATTTGATAATTGGCTAATTATTAATTATCATCAAATATGATTCTTAACAATAATTATATTATTAATTAAAGCTAATAATGACAGGGCACCACCCTGGTATCAGGGACCAATAATCAAAGTGTAAAAATCAATCTCAATTTGGGAAGTGCAATATGCAATATTAATGATTATAAAATGAAACAGTAAAGGTTTAAGTCTGAGCACTGAACACAATCCAGCTGTATTCACAGTTATACACGAATAATCACAAGATGCTAGTTCTTTAATTACAAATAGAATTTATTAAACATAGCAACATCAATTCAAATCAATAATACTATCTCAAAAGAAGTCTACTATACTAAAGCAACACAAGTAACTATAATGACTGAAACACACATGTAACACCTGTGGTGTGTGTGTGTGTGTGTGTGTGTGAGAGAGAGTTAAAGGAGGGGGAAACAAAGATGCCATACTCGGTCACGTTGGTGACGTTGTATTTTGCCAAATCCAAAATGGCGGCTGAACAACGTCATTTAATCAAAGGGAGGTAGAGAACAAAGGACAACGTGACCTAACTCGTGGCTCAAGTCGCAGAATGATGAGCGATGTGACTCGATCACGCTATCCAGTCCCGAGGATGTACATAACCGTCATTATGTGGGTCTGAGTTTGTGTGTGTAAGTGGGTTAGGAGAGAAAGAGAGAGACAGGAAAGAAACAATATGCGGTGATTCTAACACGCGGTAACCAGGCGGTGAACTGAGGTCCGTCCAGCTGGGTACGGGTCCTATATATACATATAAAATACCCGCTATTGCTCTAATGGTGACGTGTCCTAACAGTGCACCAGCACTGTAGGAAGCGCGGAATCTATACACTGCACAATAGCACAGTAAATACACAGCAAGAACGAGGACCCAGTGGTCCGACACAATTTAACCCACAACTATCAAATTAGTCTCTGCCCAGGCTTAAGCATCTTACTTGGTGCTGCTCCACGGTTCGTTTAGCACGGTCCGTGGCTGAAAGCATGCTGTGACTGTTATATTGTCTAACCCGGGACGACGGCGATGAGCCGGTTTCCTCAGTGGCAGCAGTCGGAAACAGCGATGTCGACAAAAAGGAGGGAATTCTGTCCATTCTCCTCGACAAACTCTTTTCTCCTTCTGCAGGCAAAATAGCTGACCGCAGCTGACAGTGGATCCTATAAAGTCTGTAAACTCGACCCGCGAGTGAAAGACGTGGGCCTAGGTCTTTTAAAAATAAAATAAAAGACAACTCAAAACGAAACTGAAAGTAAAACGAATGTCTGCAGGTTCCCATTTAGCGACGGGATCCTACAGAGCGACTTCGAGAGGTCCTTGTAGTCACAGCGGTGCAGAGGAAAAAGTCTCTCAGCCAGTGTGAGGCCAGAGTCTGAATTCAAGCAGCGGTTTGCAACTCTGTGCAGCGGAATGTATAACATGATGCAAATTAGCCGCTAAAGTTAGCTGCCAGCATTTGGCTGCTTAGCGCATTGGGATGGAGCCCATCATTTCTGAAGAAGGAAGAGTGCCCTAATAACAAATTGAAATTGACGACAAAGCCAAGACTGTGAGCTGAGCAGTCTGTCATCTGTCATGAAACCTTATGTTCTTCTGTGTCCTCTCTGCACTGACCTGCGGAATGATGGTGATCCTGGACCGGAGCTCATAGAGGCCCAGCTTGGCAATGTCTACCCCATCAATGAAGATCTGGCCCTCTGCTCCCTCGATGATCCGGAATATCCCCAGAGTTAGGGATGATTTCCCTGCTCCAGTGCGCCCCACAATCCCTACCTTATGGAGAGATGTATCAACAAATGTTACAGGCCACAGACATACTGTCTGTACATCCAAAGACATACACACATACATTCACATGGATATAACTTATATACATGGCACACAATACCACATCAGTTCAACCACAATCAGTGGCTTCAGGGTAACGATGTTGAGCCAGACCTTTTCTCCTCCATTAATACAGATGGTGATGTTACGAATGGCCAGGTCTAGATCATGGCGGTAGCGAAGGCTGAAGCCTCTGATGTCTATGCATCCATTAGTAGGCCACCCTGGAGAAAGACTGGAGGGCTCATGATTCCACTCGGCCTAATGATCAGATGACACACATTTAAATAAGCATGTGAACAATAATGTGTACGAAGTATTTGAATGTATCCGCTAATAGATATGGAGCGAGATTCTTCACTTAACCCTCCATCTGCATAGTGGTGAGTAGATAATGAGTGAATATTCATTTTTCTGTGAACTATCCCTTGTAATGGAAAATTGTACCCTTTTATTATACCCACTATACCATATACTATATACTGTATTAACCACACTATATATCTCTTCTGCATACCATGTGTAACTGCCAAGAAGACCTTTGGTGACCTACTTTATGGCAGATTTCACTCACAAAGACCGTAAAGAGGCCCTCAGCCTGTTGTCTTATGTCCTGAGATTTTACCTCACTCTGTTCACACACACACACACGCACGCATGCATGCATGCATGCATGCACGCATGCACGCATGCACAAAAAGCACACGCCTGCGGTTTCTTTGTCATTCCCTCTACAAAATGCTCTTTGCATGCTGTATTATTGTCTGACCTTCTTTGCAAGGAATAAAATACACTCAAAAGACTACTACTCCACGATTTCTTTTTCAGAAGTCTCGCCAGGTCGAATTTCCATCACACCCTTTAACTTGGCTCAAACATACTGGTGTAAGAGGCGCAACTTACACATTTTTGGCACAGCTCTGTGAGTGTTTATTCACATGACTTTTTCTCCAACAGCCGAACCACATAACATAAAACTAGTCATTAAGCCAATAACCTAACCATATACTAAATGTTATTACACACCAAACAGGCTTCGGTGAATTCTGTCCATATAGTGTCCACTACATTGTAGAGTCATATGTCATATAAAGCATTGTTTTTGTAGCTCAAGAAGATGAAAAATGCTGTTTCACCACATGTTCTCAGAAATGATCCCATTTGCTTTAAAATGCTTCCATGTTGTTTCTTTCTCTAAATGTTTAGTATCACACCGCCTGGAAACCTATACATTAACACTCTGTGTTATGCTTGTGGGATCATAGAAACCTACATGAGGTTTTTTCTTTACCATAGTTCTAATTGATTTGAATCTTTAAACTGTAAATAGACTGCATTTATGTAGCACTTAGTCTTAACTCCAAACTCAAAGTACTGGGGTGGGTATGGCCGAGGGGGTAGAGCAGTCCTTGGGCAAGATACTGAGCCCTTCTCATAGAGAAAATACAGCACATAGCTGCACTGTACAAATGTATGTGTGATAGGGTGAACGGCAAAAGCTGTACTGTAAAGCGCATTGAGTGGTAATCAAGACTAGAATAGTGCTATATAAATACAGACTTTCATACGGCACTTCCATTAGGGACAATTTCATAGTATCTTGTCCAAGGACACAACATGTGGACCTGAGGTGCTGGGAATTGAAATGTTCTACCTCGTGAGCCAGCCACAGATCATCTGTATCCCTACAGTATATGTTGATAAAGGAGAAATGCAATGCTACATCAAGTTTCTTGAAACTTAAAGTGTGCCATTTCTGTGCATAACCTACAGCACAAGGACAGGTGTGTTGTGTGAGACTTTAAAATCATCATCTTTATTTTGTTTGCATTCTATTAAATCACCATCTTAATGAGTGAGACAAGTCAGACCAACCTTTTGAGCTGTTTGATGCTCTGTGTAACATCCAATTGTTTTCATCATGCATCATGTGTATATATACATATGCAGTTAAATTAAAAAAGAAACAGGATTCTAATCAAAGATTCCTCAACATTAACATAAACCACAGTCCAAATCCAGCACAAACAATTAATGTAAACTTTCCTCCAAAAACCTAAAAGTGACAATGGTTCTTAGAATTATTTGATTCCTGTAAAGTTTGTTTCTGTGTACCTCTTTCTCTGTGTCACTGTACTCTTTCACTTTCTCCACAGCCACTATGTTGGTCTCCACATCAGAGGACATCCTCACTAGCCAGGTCAGAGAGGCGGTCAGCTACACATGGACACAGAAGAGCAAACCATTATCCTTTAGGGTCAGTTCACACAATAAGCATGCAATGTCTCCTCTTCTACCACTGTTTGCATCTGTCCATACAGATTTTCGATATTTAAACAAATTATGTTGTAGAAGATGCTGTTTTTCTCATATTTTCTTCAAAATCCAGATGTGTGGGGTGGTACCGACCTGAGTTCATGGTTAGGCACAACAAAACTTTTGGCTAGTCAGCACCATGTAGTAATATTTCTGTTGGTTTGTGTAACAGGCCTGGATCTTTAGGTCAATATAAAATAAATGGTTAAATTTATACTTAAGTGGTCTTAACAAGTACTTTACCCATACATTATACAAGTGCCTATTCTATGTATTATTTACTTCAATGTTTAAGTATGAAGAGTTTTAATTATCAAATGAATAATTCACTGCTGGAAAGATGGCCTTCTAGAAAAACTTGACTGTCAATGCCAGAGGTCACTAAAAGATGGACTGTGGTTCAGATCTGGACCCAAATGCCTTCATATACGGACCTCGGCCCATAACTATAATGGCCCAGGAATCTCCTAGACCAATTGTATGCCTTGAAGATCATGTCACATGACGACACTCAAATATATGAATTTCAATAAACATTCTGAGAAGATTTGATGAGGGAAATGGAATGTAACAGTGACCTCCCACTCCAGGAGTAAATTGGTGTATCATATTGAGTTTTATGAGTGTTAAGGCTGGAACCTGGCCAACCGGCTACAATATGAATTGTGAGCGTGAGACATTTAAAGGTACAGTGTGTAGAATTTTGTGATATCTAGTGTTGAAATTGCATGTTGCAGCTGAACACCCCTCACCTCAACCTCTCCTTCCAAACATGAGAAAAGAACCTGTGGTAGCTCAAAAGATGTTTAGTTTGTTCAGTCTGGACTAATGTAAAAAACATGGCGGCCTCTGTAGAGAGGGTCCCCTCCATGTAAATATAAAGTATTTCAATATAAAGATCCTTTTCTGGGGTAAAGAAAACTATAATTCATACAATTTAGATGAAACGAACTAGTGAAAACATCATGAGGATTATTCTACATTCAATTTCTGCCAATAGTTCCTTTCACCTAAATCTTACACACTGGAAATGTGAATTTCCAGAACCACACTTTTGAGCTCCATTCACACATCAGGGAGATGCCACTACTAGGCTAGAGCACGCTTCTCTCACTGAACTGTGGGGTTAGTGGGGGTAGGATATAAGAGGAAAAGAAAGGAAGAGAGAAGCAGGTGTTAGCAGTATAATTCTTAAGATGTTTTGAAATCCTTTAAAAAATTGGTTGTGACAATAAGGTGAGAGTGACTTAATAAGAAAAAGGGAACCTACATTTACATTTTTTCTAAAATGCACTTCATTTTAGGATGCTCATATTTAAAATTGTATGGATTTGTATGGATTCTATTTGTAACTTGACATGGAAAAAGATACATATTTACATATTTATAATCCCTCCAGTTAATGTGAAAATTGTCAAATTTAAAATGTTATACATTTAGGGAACTGATACCCATGAGTGTGGGAAATGTGGTGCAGCGTGATTGAATTTAAGGGACTGCTGACCGCCTTAGCAGAGGCATGTGCTCTACTAAGTGACACTCTAGTTGTATTACACTTTCTTTGGTTTTACAGTCAGTTGTTGACTCTACAACAATGTTGATACCTCTAACGTATCATAATGCTAATTAGACATTGTCCTGCCTCGCATACAGAATTGCGAGGCAGCTGACTCCGTCCAATTTCGTGCCACCTCTGCCTCCCAACAAAATTGTAGTCCACATTACAGTGTACAAGGATATAGTGGTCAACCGGTTATATGGATAAGAGATTGGGACAGAATCGTATTTGGGTTGTAATTAGTTCTTTTCATATACGTTTGCACTGTACAAACCTTTGTTCGTTTTTTAACAGATTTTACCGCCTCTGTCAGTAATTCACTGCTCCTCTCTGTGTCTCTGTCATTTGCACGGCCAACTGCGTCAGGCCAAACCGAGCACGCCCTTTCCAAAAAAACTGCTGTTAACTTTGTGAAGTGACTGTCGTAGTGTGTCAAATAAAATACAATTATTGCAATAATAGTTTCTTTACTACGCAAATATTAATTCTGTGCGCTAACAACTTATTTATCTTGTGCACACAAGATAATTATCTTATAAGTAATTATAATGTGTGCCAAGTGTGAAAAAAGATATGTAGTCCACAGACAGGCAGACAGTTCTAGAAGTAGTTAAAACGTAAAAATTTTGATATTGAAATTAAAGTTATTTTTATAACTATATTACTAATATAATATATGAAAAAAAACAAGTAGATTCAATGCCTCAATTATTTTTTTCATGTTATAAGCTAAAAGGCTGTATGTTTCATGGGTATATCAATTCATGTATACTTATTTATTTAACATTTATTTGGATTGAGTAGACTGAGATCAATCATGATATTAAATCCTCAGATTACCCACTCCTATATGTCCATGGCATTCCAGGGGATAGTTCAACTACTTCACTTTGAGCATGTCATATCATATACAGGCAGTCACAAGTTGTATATAACGGTTTCTTGACTCTAACTCCAACCACCAAAACAAAAAAACTCCTATAAATGTGTCTCGTGAGTAACTCATATGACTTACATAGCTTATGCATGCCGTCTCTTAGCTTTATGTTCATAATTCAATACAGACTCATATACAGGTGTGAGTATAGGTGTTTACCTGGAGCGCATAAGAGATGGATAAACCCATAATGCCGGGACTGAGGCTCTCTCGAGCTATGACAGCAAACAAAGCAGCAGATGACACAATGCAGTTTCCTACAAACTCCAGACGAACTGCCAACCACCTTGAAAAACACAGATTGACAATAACAAAGAGCACTATTACCTGAGACATTCATTGCAACTAAATATGATATATTATTTGAAGAAATCAAAACAAAATCTGCTCACTTTTTTACTAAAGACTACATATCAACATCAACAACAGCAGCTATTTAGTGAATTAAGAATACCCCGACCTGTTTGCTACTATGCTGGGATAGTAAGCCTTCTGGTTGCGGTCCACCCGCTGGTCACTCCCAAAGATGAAGCGCTCCTGCTCGCCAAAGGCTCGGATGACAGAGATGCCCAGCAGTGTTTCATTGAAGTGGGTGTAGATAGGTGAACGGCTGACTGATTCCAGACGCTTGAATTGACGAGATGACGCCACGTAAAACCTCTGGACAGATGTAGGACAGACATATCTGAGAAGTGCAATCACAATAAGTAATGAAAGGCATTGGAGGGGCAATGCATACCCTGTCCATGCTGTATATATCACAATCAGGAAATACTAACTTTTTAAAACCATAATTACATTTTTTATGAAGTCATTACTATGTCATTTGTACCATAAAATGATGAATGGTTGGTTAATCTATATGAACATTAGATTGTGTCTTTAGTCTTATTTGTTGCCAAATTTCATGTATCGCTATACTAAATGACATAATATTATGATTTCATAGCGATCATTATGACATCATTCCTACCAAATGATCCATAATTATTCTTCAATCAATATACATTTTAAGTTGTGTGCATAGTGCTATATGATGCAGAGATACTTAAAAATGCATTTTTGAACAATGTAATTCCTGACTTATTTGTGAGTTTTTCATGATATCACTGCAGTGTTTATTGCGGAGACTGTGGTGGCCCCCAATAGTCTAATATGTCCTTCTAAAGTTCCATATTGATCCTTTTTGTCTTCTTTTAACATAAGCATCGTTAATTGAGTGTTTTCTGCCGAGCCTCTAACCTGCTGTCGCACATGCCTGTCTCCCTCTTACACAAACACATTACCTGTCTATCACAGCCAGACCAATAATTAGCAGCACCAGTAGCAGTCCCGCCAACTTTGGGGGCGGCAGAATTCAGCATAAATTCTCAATTTTCAGTGTTTTCTTTCATGTGACCAGAATGCAAGGAAACTGATTAAAATTATATATAATGCAGCTACAAATAGGAGGACATTAGATGAAGGGAAGAGCCTTGTTGTCTGACCCTCAAAATATTTAACTAACCTGTACAAAAAAGTAGAGCAGTCCAAGAACAGGAATGATGATGGCTACCAGCGGTGTGGCAATAAGAATGACAACACAAGCAGCCATCACACTGAACATAGAGCCCATGAACATCTTAGCAATGCTGGGGATCACTGAGTCAATTGTATCCATCTCCTTGGAAAAGCGGTTGACAAGGTTGCCACTGGGGGTTCGCTCAAAGAAGGACATAGGGGAGCGCAGGACGTCATACAGTAGGGACTGGTGGAGACAACGGGATGCAAGGATGCCCCCAATGGACATGGAGAGGGAGTAACCAAAGACTGCCATACCTGCAAAAAGTTGGGTTTATTGTGTAAGATATGCTTTATGAATTTAAAACAACCACACCCACAATCTGATTCAAAGTCTGATGTATCTGAAAAGCATGTGTTTCAATAAAATCGTTGTGTCTCACCTCAGCTGACTGACAGACATGAATGTGATTCACTTTCAGTCAAGAATAAGTCCTACATCCCCCCCATAAAAAGAATTGTAAACTGGCCGAAAATAATAACCCTGTTATACTATGACGACGAGCAAAAAAGATGAGAGGAGAGATGACTGGAGAGGAGAGAGGAGAATAGTGGACTGGAGAGGAGGAGAAAAGATGAATGAAGAGAAGGTTAGTGTAGGAGCAATCAAAACCAATTTGATAAGCCTTTTGCTAAAATAACTATTTGTCTTCATAGATCTATAACAATGCATATATTTCTGTTCATTGTTTAAAAATAATACAATAACATGGCTGTCTTATGTCTAATGTATACGTGCAAATTTAAAGATACTTATGTATACTCTATATAATTTGAAATACTTATGCAATTATATTTTTTTAAAAAAGGGAAAAAAAAGAGTATACTGTATAAAGTTATATAAAATATGTTTACATTATCAGTCTACATATGTTTGGTGTAAATGACAAGAAAAAGCATAAAAACGAAATGTCAGAAGTCTATGTGCAATTTGTATTACTCGTCCTACTTGATTTTTAGATTGCTATGTTTATACCTGCTTTGACATTTGAATTTACCAATGGGGATTAATAAAGTATTTCTGATTCTTATATATAGTAATTTATCTTGTTTAATTTAACTTTACTTGATATTCTTCATTTTTCATGCTTGTTGATTATCTTGCCGTTGCAATGCTGTTAATTTCCCAATCTAGGGACAATAGAGGAATTCTGATTGGGATTCTGATTGTCACAATGTGTAGTTTTGTCCTCCATTTTTCTGCATTGTATATCTGCTTCCCCCACCACTCCTCACCCTGAGATAGGCCGAGAGCTCCATACACCCCTAGTCTCATCAGTCTGTCAGGCTGAGTGCCATTAACCACAGGATCATCTGTCCAAAGGCTTAGCCAGTAGTTGGAGAGGAGGGAGACCAGGTGATGGGCAAGGAACAGCAGCAAACTGATACAAGACAGAAGCACCCCGATGGCTTTCAGATAGGCCCAGAACACAGAGAGGTTGACCTGGGGAGAGAGAGGATGCATGGCTATGGTTAGGACGATAGCATAAAATACTGCATATAGATTAACAATGATGGATTCATTGGGCCTCATTCACCAACCGTTCTTGAGAAGAAATTTCTTCTTAAAACCCACTTACGCAGTTTTATGAAGATGGACAGATGATTTTTTTCTCTGGGATTTGTTCTCATGAACAGAATCTATGCACACTGAAGAGCACTCTCATGCAAACTTGACAACTGAAATGCTTGTGCAATATAATAAATAATGATGTTTTTGACTTTATCTCTACAGTTGTATGATATTAAAATGACCATAATATTTGACCATCTTATCCTAAAAAAACATACTATATTATAATTATTTTATATGCATCAAAATATGTAGAAGGGGAGCACACACACAGAACATTTGGTCTTCACTGCAAAAGAAAACACTCTCAAACATGATAAAGAGGAGAATATTTTGTCACAAAAACAGTTGTCTATCTCTAGGTTTTACAAATGTTTAAATGTGTGAGAGTTGTACTGCTACAGCTTTTAGTTAAAATGTTCAGTCTAAGTGCCTTTTAATTCTGAAAAAAAGAGTTTGTAGCTAATGACGTTGCCACCGGGGCCCAACAGTAGCCAGAGACGAACCACTCACTTTTTAACATGCTTTTATTCTTTAACACTTGAGCAAACCTCAATTAAACTAAACATAAAGAGGCCAGCAGTTTCTGCTGGCGTGGCAGCTCAGCTCGTTCTGTCCACGTGTCTCTCTCCCTGTGGAAGCACGCACTGAGCCTGACCTAAACCTGAATATGATTTAACACATGTTCCTGGTTAGGCTTAGGTCGAGTATCCACAGATGCTCAACTGAAGGTTCACCTGCAGTGCTGTGTTTCCAGTGAAATGCAGCTCCAGCTCAGATAACTGGTTTTCCCTTCCCCCCCTCTCTCTTCTGTGTTTGACAATATTAACTTTGACTTTTAATCTGAAAGTATTTTATTTACCTCAATTATGACTATGTCTTACTTTATGTCCACTGCTGCTGACACTACAAAATATACCATTTTTGTTCAACCATTCCTGTATTCTTAAATGTTCTTTTCAGTTTCTGTGATTTCTTAAGAACAAATTTAAGAAATATGATGTTGGTGAATGAGGCCCATTGATTGGACGTTGAGAATATAAAAACTCCACCTACTCGTCCTTTGCTGGCCTTGTCAGCTTCCGTCAGCTTGCCCACCTCTGGGTTCTTGGCCTTCTTGCTCAGCTCCTTGCCCCTCTGGGACAGCTTGGAAACATCTGACATGCTTCTTAAACATGTAACAATAAAAAAAGAGTTATTAAGTAGTATTCATCATGAAGTGCAAAACAAGTCATAATTGGCCTCATACAAAACTCATTCCAGACATATTTATTATTAGGTGGAAGTCTGAGTCATTGAAGGGACTTTTCTTCAGAACTTGCTAATGATCTCGTAATTACAATTATCTGAAGAAATACATATATAAAAAATTGAAAAACAAACCATAAGAGTAGGACAATGATGTTTACCTGTGGGATATTGAATTGATTGGACATATTTAGAAAAGGCTCACACCTTACCCTACACAAAAGGTTTCGCAATTCACACTGCATGTCGGGCCAAAACAAAAGGAATATTTAAGCACAAGGAAATACTACTTAAATTATCAGACAGCCAGGCGGGGAAGTGAAACAAAAGTTCCAAAAATTCAGACAAATTTTCAGGTTTTACCTTAGTGGTGAGCATATATATATATATTTTAATACTCTCAAAGCACGGTATTTGTAGCAGAGGGCAAAGTAAGAATTATATGACAAATCAATCATGTGGCTGGAATAGAGTTACAGCCATCAGGTTAGGTTGACGCACACAGCACAGAGTGTAGCAGCAGCAGCACACATGCTGATGTTTGGGCTCCTGCAGAGAAGTGGACAACTGCATCAATGCAGTGACAGAACATAATCATTTTCCTCTATTTTAACTGTTTTAGTTGGTTTCCACTGCTGAAAAATTATAACCAGGGCTGCTTACAGATCAGGACAGATGCACATTAAAGGTCTGGTCATCCTGTCTCTGTCTGAGTCTGCTTCCTCCTCACTCCCCCTCTGACCTGCGCTCACTTAACACTTTACCAATAAACACCATCACTGATCACAAGTTAATAAGACAAGTACAGGTATCAACTGATATGTTAAAAGTACAAGGGTACGGGGAATTCCGGTTGCCTCCCATCGAAACTTCATATTTTCGACTAATTATTAACAAATGCTATATGAACAAACTTAGCCCATCAGTGTGGCATCTAGAACCAGTAAAACGAAAAAGCTTGAATATGATGCATCACCAGCTGGCACTGCTAACATCAACTATACTAGCTTGGCTAGCAGAGCTACAGGCGAACCTGCTAACCAAGCTGCTATCGACTCCAAACTAGACGGGACACACACCACGGTGACCAACCACGGGCAGCATTTATCTGACCTGAAGTCTGGTTTGAACCAGCTGCAGTCTTCAGTTCACCACCTCCTGTCTGCATTGTCATGCATTGTCACCGCACCATCTCCAAAATGTTTGCACGTATGGGTCAGAGTGGAAGTGCACACATCTCGTCAAATTAGTTTTTCTAAATCCCAACGTTGGGCGTGAGAAATGACATACGCAAGTTTTCATGTCCCATTTTGTGCATATGCATCGGTTATAAATGAAGCCCCTAGTCCGGATGGATTCACAGTTGAATTTAACAAGACACCACCTCTCTCCAGTTTTGCGTAATATGTATGTGGAGGTGACTGGGAGAGCAGTCACGGACAGAGATGCACAGAGACACTCAACTAACCTGAGCTGCAAAGCCAGGGGCCAGCTGAAATAGTAGGCGCTAGTTTAAAGTTTGTGAATTCATGTTTTCACATTATTTAATACAGTGATGCTGAAACACGAATGGTTTGTCTCTGGCTGCTGTGGTGAGAGCCCCATGGCATGGTCAACTGCCACACTGGCGCCCAACGCAGGGCTCCATGCAGTCAGAGATGCGGACCTGCAGGAGGAGATGGCACTGGCACGAGTGGTGGAGGACTTTGTGGCCGTGTACCCGAAGCAGGCAGAGGAGAACAGATGGCGGTTGGAGGCGCTCCAGAAGCAGGTGGAGAGAAAAACGCGATAATGGAACCACTCTCTGCTCCACTCCACTCTTCTCCTCTCCAGTCATCTC